GTAGCGTTTATCAGAGGGGGGGGGGGATGTCCAGGTGCGACAGGTCCTTGATGATGATACTGCTTCTCCGCTGAAGTCTGCCAGTATAAATGTCTCCACCCGCTGCAGTTTTCTCTTGTCCTCCACGGTACAGCAGTTAAACCAGAGTGTACAGCAGTAGGTCAGAAGGTGGTGGAGCGGTAGAAGTTGATTAGCAGTCAGTTTTGGTCTAATTGGGCCCTGATGCAGCTTCCTGACAAAGTACATTCTTTGTTGTGGTTTTCCTACCTGATGGAAAATGTTTGTGGAGCAGGTAATGTTGGCCGAGATATGGACCCCAGGGAACCTAAAGCTTTCTACCCTTTCTATCCCTTCCCATCAATGTAGAGGGCGGAGTGCTCAGATTGCTTTGTTCGTCTGAAGTCGATTACTCCTTGGCCTTGGCTGTGTTCACATGTAGGTTGTTGTTGTCACCTATTAAATGTTACAGCAAATATTTCTGGCACAACTTCACCTACTTCCAAGGTGCGTGAAGAGGATGAAAAAGTCACAAAGAGGAATGATCTAACCAGCCCTGTTGCAAGACACTTCAATGATAAACATCCAGATTCACCTCTATTCTTTCTAGGCATTGAAGCCATTAAACTAAACCAAAGAGGTGGTAATATTAATTTTATCCAGAAAAAACAGAGAAGCATTTTGGATATTCGGTTTTAAGAGTCTGCACCCTAGAGGCATGAATGAAGATTTTTCTATCAATGAGTTTTTGTGAACTGTACCCTTTTTTAAATTCTTTTTTACCAGTTACTTTGCTCTGTCAATCATTCTCGCATGGGTAATGTTTATCTATTTATTTATTTATATTTATTTTTTCAATAAAAGAAGGAGTAGCATTCTAGATGTCTAGCATTCTGTCTTTCTACAAATGTTTTTCCATGTGATGATGTCCTCTTTTTTTTAATCTAACTGCTGCACTGACTTCTTTTTGAATTAATTTTTTTTCTTTTTAATTGTTTTTTGTATATTTGTAATATTCTTATTATGTATTTCATGCATGTATTTTAAGACAGGTGGGGATTATGTCTCCTCACCCCCGTCTTCATCATTAATGACTTAGTCCAGTAGCCGACCTAGTCCACAAGCCAAAACTTGTTGGTCAGGCAATAAAGTTGTTTCTCTTCCCTTCAAGCGTTGCTGGAGTTCCTGTATTGTGACCTATTAAATGTTGCACAATATTCTTTAGTCTAAGGAGCTTGGAAAGAAAAGCGTCTGGACTTCTTTAAGTTGCTTGAAGACGCTTCACCTCGTCTTAATGGGCCCCCTAATGATCCTCTACCTAATCATCGAGCCAGGTGTGAAAACGGGTGTAGGTCACCATCAGCCAAGGTTTCGGGTGAGCTCATTGTGAAACCTAGCCCCACCCCATCATGTGATTTCCTGAGGTCAAATGGCCCAAGATATGAGTGGGCGTTAAGGCGTCTGGGAAGGGATCTCAAAACTGGATTATAGATGGCAGACAGTTTTTTGTTGTAAGCCACCGCCTCTGTTCAAAGATGGTCGCTCACAGTGGACATAGATCGCTTCTTTCACTCCTCTTTCAAACCATCTGTCTTTTCTGTCCAAAATGTGAACATTTGTGTCCTTGAAAGAGTGACCTTTGACCTTTAGATGCAGATGGACAGCCGAGTCTTGTCCCGTGGAGGTGGCTCTTCTATGTTGTGCCATACGAACCTTCACAGACATATTCTTTAATGTAGTTATAACCTGTTATAACTGTTGTTATAACCCATTATGAGACTTAACCAAGCTGTCTTTTGAATTGTGAAGTTCAAACTTAACAACTTTTTAAGGTTTTGTTTCAAGCCTCTCATTGACTCCTCTCTCCTGTTACTCCCTCTTCCTCTCAGGCCGCTTTGCCGTGCGTGACATGAGGCAGACCGTTGCCGTTGGCGTCATCAAGTCCGTCGAGAAGAAGGTTGCCAGCGGTGGAAAGGTCACCAAGTCCGCACAGAAAGCCGACAAAAAGAAATGAATCCTCGTGCAGGAGGTCCACCGACAAGTCGCGTCTCAGCAGCAGCGGGCCGCCCCATCCTCCCTTCCCCCCTTCCATCCAGCGCCGTCTTCTCTGAGGCAGAGCTCTCTACTCAAGGACTGGCTTATGCTGATTAAAACCCATCGGAAGAGTTTCCGTAGGAAAGGAAGGTTCGTGCCTTCAAGGGAAAACTACCATCATGATTACATTTAAACCAAAACAATAAAAATCTCAAACATTGCCAAATGAAAACGCCTCTTTTGTGTTTATTGACTGCAGACAGTGGCAGCACTGGTTCTTTTATGCACTTTTCTGCTCTACCTGAGCACTCAAACACTTCATACATGCCTCATTCACCCATTCATACCAGCATTTTGCTCTATGCTTCAGTGCTTTCTATCTCCCATTTAGTATCTTGCCAAAAGGATATTTGGCATACAGCGCCGAGCAGAGGGCATCGGGTCAAACAGGTGGTGGGCGGGGTGCAAGGGGTCACCTGTGATGGCCCTGGTTTTCCAGACACAGGAGGATTTGGCGATGGCATCCAGGGGTGACTTAGGCCTCTCAATGATTTCTTGGGTGGTTTTAATTACTCTCAGTGGCAGCAAAAAATACGGACATTCTGTACTTAAGTAGCAGTATAAATGCTACTCATAAAAATACTCCAGTAAAACTTATAGTACTGATTCAAGTACAGGCTCTGAAATGTACTCAAAGTAAGAAATAAAAGTAGCTCTTTGTAGGACGTTTCTATTTTTGTGCAAACTAACTGAACCTTGTGTTATAATTATGATAAAATAATATCAGCAGATGGGAACTGTCAGGAATCGCTGTGCGGCAGGCAGGAGTAGGACCCAAAATGCAGGACTCACAGGCACGAGGGAATGAACTCAAAACTCAGCTTTATTTGCTGGCAGGGAAAAAAACATACAAACTAATACAAACTGGGAACTTAGAAAACTCACAGAGAGACACACAGGGAGATCCACACAGCATGAGGGACAACGCGACACTGACTCAGAGAAACACAGGGTTTAAATACACTGGGAAGTAACGAGGGGAATGAGACACAGGAGGGCACAGCTGGGAGAAATCAGGACTGACGAGACAAGCAAAGCAGGACACATTCACATGAGACACGGACCATCAAAGTAAAACAGGAAGTATCACACAGAGACGCGAACTTGACACAGTGGAGACAGCAACTAAGAAATACAGAGACATAAACCATAAGGCAGAGGTCTAAGAACCAAAATACACAGGGAAATACTCAGCTGGGAACACAAGAGACTAGACTAGAGAGAGTAACAAAAAACCAACCATGAGAACATAATGCACAATGCAGAGTGACAGAAAACAAGAAACTCAAACATGCAAAGACACACAATTACACAGAACAGAGGGGACACAGAGAGACATGAAGGGCAAGGGATCAAAACTAGAAGCCATAGAATAGATCACACACAAGTACAATAATACAAAAATCACAAAGAACTAAAAAACGCTGGGTCAGGAGACCCAGGACCGTGACAGGAACACAGACTTCAGTCTAACTTTCGTTTATTCTAATTATACTCAGCTTGAATCTGAAGAAGATGAAGGAAACTAAAAACTATGTCTCTATTTTCTGTTCCCTGCTTTGTTTTTGCCTCTAAACAGGAAAATGTGTACAGTCTCAGCAGGTGGGTGAAGCCTAAAATTAGTTGTGATGGCTCTGTGTTGGCAAAAGAATCAGAACTCACAATTTCTATTGAGAAATATTCTTAATGTACAGGCTGTGATCAGCTGACCTGATACTCTTTGTGGATGTACACAACTGAATTCGAACAGATGTCAGCAGATGTGTCATGAGTTGTCCTGGCTGATTTCCATCCTCTGCACTGACAGTACGCTGTTTATGCTGGAATTCAGTCAATCAATCTCAGCATCATCAGGTAAAATTCACATGAATCTCTGCTACACTGGGTGTAACCTAACTCTGACCGATGAACCACAGCCACTGTGCACCAGTCGCACCCTCATCTTTACTTTTCGAAGTACAGCAAACTAACCTGTTCAACCTGTACTAAATGTAAAGAATTTTCATGTAACTTTAAATAACACAGCTATACCTCGCCTAACCTCTCGTCTTCCTCTCCTCTCCTGTCCTGTCTGTCTTATCTTCATCTCTGAGTGAAGTTAACTCTCTTTCTTTTCTCTCCCTGTGAAATACAGCAGCTGGACCTTCAGCTAGCAACACATTGTGAGACCAACTGGACACAGTTTAGCCGCTTTTGGGCTTTCTTTCTCTACCAGGGCGTTGGTGTTGTGGGTCCAGGTGAGAATGACAAAAATGTGGGTGCCCAGAAACCTCGAGTGGAGACAGATTCCACCCATTCTCCATTTATAATGAGAGGGGAGTGGACCTGTCTGTGTCTTCTGAAGTTCATGATAAGCTTCAGGTTGTTTTCTGAGCACCAGCAGGACAAGTTCTCTGCTCTCTCATCTCCATCAGAGTATGCAGAGAACAAGAATAAGGATTATTTATGCCCCCATTTATTTCTGCAGTAGAATCAAAGGTGACACAGCCTTCGCATTTTCTTGAAAATGAAGCCAAAAAAATCAGAGGATATTTCCAGATTGTGCAAGATTACTTGGAACAGTGTTTGGTTGAATGTATGACACATTCTTTCCACTTAAGTGATCCTGACCTAACACGAGCAGGTAAAAGATAAAAGCCACAAAAACACAAGTAAAGCATTAAACCTCACACTTGATTCATAGAGCCTAAATGCTTCCTGATGTAGTGGTGTCTTTGTGGGAATTCATTGTTGGGCAAACTTGAACGTAAAAGGTGTGTGAGCACATACCCCAGCTCATTGCGCAACATTTTCCCATCAGGGGTGATGAAGCTGAAAACCGGATCCCAGGTAGGAGGAGGAGGAAGAGGGCTTCATCCCTAGATTCTGCTTCATGATAACTGAAAGAGAAAGTAATCCTAGAGTAGGAAGTAAAACACAACAGTCAGGGCTTCATCTCCATTTGCAGAGGACGCTGCTCAGGTGAGTCAAACCGCTGTCGGATTGTTTCATTTGCTTCTTTTCACATCACAAATCACTCGCTTCGGTGTTTTACGGCAGAGGTCACAGAGCCGCGGCTCTTTCGCCCCTCAGCTGTGGTTTTTGAAAGCCAAAATGATCGGATCCGGGATCCGTGAAGCCGAACTTCATAAAATGTGCGTAAATGATCAGTATTTATTCAGGTTTGAACGTACACGTTTATAAAAGTGTTATACCTGTGGTCGGATCGCTTCGTATTTCTGTGTGGATTGGAGCACGCGCGTAGGAGTCCTTAAACATTACACAGAAATCACTGGTACGCGTGTAACGCTTAGTTTACGCTCGTGGGTCACATTGTACGCATATGCAACCCTTTTCAGTCAAATTTACCTCCATATTTCTTTGGATCTTTGGATCCACTGACGCAATCAGGTTTTCTTAAACATTAACTACACGAACTCCTTCTTAACACTGCTGGCCTGCAGGGATATTAAAGGGACCTCGTACAGCCCTGATAGGGAGGAGCAGTGATGTTCATAAACAGAAATAACGCTAACCGGCCCACTGCTACATTTTGTTTATTTGAAAGTTGGGTATTTACCATCTACTAATATAAATTATCATAGAGCTCATTTAATTTCATGAGACGCATACAGCCAAGTTTGATCCAAAGCGTGGCCGACGAGTAAAAGTATTGCTCAATAACCTATAAAACATCTCACCTGAGTTTTTTACTGTAAAGAAAATCAAGGTACACGATAAATTAAATAACACACCCTTTAATCAAACGATTCTTTATCAAATTTGATGAACAGGCTGAGATGTAAATCCGTAAAATTACAGAAAAAGCAAAAAGGACTGAGATTGTCCTCTAACTGAAAAGATGACATTTTCTGTTCATTCACAGAAAATCAGATTCATTTGACTAATCTGAATAAATGGCCGCAGACCCACAGCAAACAAAACAAAGCAAAACTGTAATGAAATAGTG